TACACCCTAAAACCCAACGGGCAAACCCTAAACTCCCGGGTTTCTTCATATTACCAGAAGCCCCCATCTCCAAAATCTGGTCCTGATAGGCTGAGGTCGAGTGGAATTTAGGGCTTAGGGTTTAGGGTTTAGGGTTTAGGGTTTAGGGTGGAAGGATGAGGGTTGCCCTTAAACTCCAAACTCTAAGCTCTAAACGCTAAACCTGGTAATCTAGGGGCCTAAATAATTACTCATGCTAGTTTGGGGGTTCCGTGTTATAATTATAGTATACTATACCCCAAAACCTTTTTCTGATTATTAAGGCCCCTATATCAGATGCACGAAACCAGCGACCCTGGATCCCCCCTTCCGTTTTGTCCCGGCCCCGATTTCAGGCGCCGCTGTCCCTGACAAGCGGCTTCTCTGGGAGTTACTCTGCTTTTGAGCACTTGATTTTGGCCTTGGGTTTAAAGTGCGTTTAAAACCCTAAGGTACGCTTTGAAAAAGCTTCGGGTGTCGGGGGTTTAGAGCCTAAAGTTTAGGGTTTATGGGCCTATGGCTGTAAGGCTTTGAAGGGGCTTAGGGGTATCAGGATCAGGCTGGCGGGCCTGCGTAGTTTGAGGTGCTAGCGGCTCAGAGCAGTAAACCTGGCCAAGCTAAGGTGGAATGGCACTGGAGTGTGCCGGAATGGCACAGATTCTGAAGGTGCTTGCCAGCCAGAAGTTTGGCGCCATCACGCCGCTGCAACATCTACATCAGCTGAACCCCGAGATTGAGCAGCCCAGCCGCGACGACGCGGCCCTCTTTGCCAGTGAGGTCATCACCATTGAAGGGCTGGGCTCGTATTGTGGCACGACGGCGAAAGGCATCGGCAGTCCAAAATCTCATCCCCGGAAGCACATACCACAAACCCCTACATAAAAGAATCCGATTTCTGAAGCAACCTAGAAGAAAGCTGACAAAGTCCACCCGCCTCAAATCCCGACAGGACGCTTTCAGTGCTTGGGGTTTGCTGTAGTCCACTCGTACCATACTTCCTGCTGTTTCTTCTCTGCAAACGTATCAACCTACTTCAATTGCTCTTCTGATTTCATTGTGTTTCCAGAAAGAGCCCGTGGCTTCAGGGCCATCCCAACCCCGAAACCTTGCTGGATCTTGGCAGGGACTGAAGTGATACTTAGTTCCCCAATACCCAACCTTCAAACTTGTCGGGTTCTTACACTTGAGAAGTAATCTGGAAGTTTAACCTTTGTTTTTGGGGAAGTAAGAATATCTGTAGCAGAGTTACCAAAGTGCTTTGCAGCTGAGGGCTTTGAGCTACGGAGCCCTTCCTTCATACCTTCAGCCCACTTCCCTTTACCTTTAAAGCCTATGCTCGGAACCCTACACCTAATAGGGGCCGTATAATGCATGGAATAGGGTTTGGATGCTAATATGTATTGTGGGAAGAGCACTAACAATTATGTTGGCATAGGCTGCTATATCATGTATGGGCCCTGAGGCATTGGTGGCACAATGGTCCATGTGATCACACTGGGCACCCTTCGAATCCTGGGACGTTATTACGGATCATTTCTAGTGTTTGTTTTCATTTCTGTGTCTGAATAAATAGTAGTATACACTGTTCATGTTCAAGCTACTTATCCTCTTATCATCGTAGTAGAAAGAACCCCAACACCCAATTCTAGTCATCAAGACCCCGACATTATGCTTACACCCATCGAGACTGCTAATGCTGAAGGGGTGCAAGATCAATTCTTGAGTATCATGTTCAGCTACAGTCCCAATCACCGGGCATCCTAGTTTGGAGAACGACCCATCTGCTCCTCCACTAGATTGAAACGTTAAAGGGTTCAAGTTAGCATATAGACCCTGAACCCTGAATCGGTTTAGGGTTTAGTTTAGGGTTTAGGGCAGTGTGACCCTGTGAGGCTGGAGATACAGCTCACTCCAGGAATCCCCCTTAGATTGTTGTAGGTACCTCTAACCATGGGCCCTGACTGAAGGAATACTGCAGACTTGGCGCGACCCACGCAACCCAAACAACCTCATAAACCTGTTTAAACCGATTCGTCAAGCCTTCCTAAACCATGTAAGATCGAATACAGCCGTGCAATACCTCGTCAAGACCTTCAGAAAGCCTGACACCCTAAACCCTTAAACCCTGAACCCGCAACCCTGCAGCCTTCAAAGCAAAGTAAAACCCTAAACCCGTAAACCCTAAACCCCTACACCCTACACCCCATACCCTAAACCCACTCTTTACGTTATTTCCAAGACCCCTGAGAACCCAATACCTCTTAATTGAGGAATATACCTTAAATTCTAATATTCGGGCCCCTATAATTGAAGGTATATTCCTTAATTAAGGGGTATTGGGTTCTTTGTGATTCGGGCCCCTGCAAATTTGCGGTATATTCCTTAGTTAAGGGGTATTGGGTTCTCTAGGACCAGCAAAGGAACTCCGGAGACCCAATCAGCGCCTGAGGATGCCCTTCGGCCACGATCTTCGGGGATTTTCAGGGCTTAACCTGCACCCAGAGGCCCAAATATGCCTTAATTAAGGAATATAGCTTAAATCATAATATTAAGAGGGTTTAGGGTTTAGGGTTTAGGGTTTAGGGTTAAGCCCTTTGTAATTTAAGGTATATTGGGCCATTGGGCTCTCTGGTCTTTTTGTTTAAGGACTTCTTCCAAGCAATCATATTTAGGAAGCCTAGAGAGATAGTTTCATAAGCAGGAACCCCCAAAAGGTGGGTAGGGTTTAGGGTTTAGGGAGGGCCCAGGTAAGCCCCCTAAACCCCAAACCCTAAACCCTAAACCCCTAAACCCCTAAACCCTAAACCCTAAACCGAGGGTTTAGGGAGGGCCCAGGTAAGCGTTCACAGCCAGAGTTGCCGAAGCTCACGCTCCGAATCTGGCAGAGCGGTGAAATTGAAGAGGCTCCAGGCTCTAAATTAGGGTGTACTTGGAGGGTCGCGGGACTTAGTAACTAGTTATTTTATGGACTTATAAGTATCATAACCCCAAGGTACTTATAATTCTACTTAATATCTACTTACTAATTCCCCTGACCCTCCAAGTAGGATGTAGGGTTCCGGGTTTAGGGGTTTCGGGTTTCAAAACTGTCTGACAGCCGCTGAAGTTGCAAACTCGACACGCAAGAAACCGCTGCACCAAAGGCAGTAGCGAGTTTACAAAAGCATTGTAAACCAGCGTGTAGCATGGAGGTGCCCCTTAGAATAATTTTGCACCCGTAAAAGACCGAAACCCTTGAAGACGAAAAGCAAACTCTGAATTTGGTGAATCACCAACACCCCTAAAGCTTTGCTTTCGAAGTAGCATCTGTTGACAGATGTGCTTGCACCACAGTATCGCGATAATCCCCCCTCACTCCTCCGACCCCACCTGCCAGAACACGACTTCGAAACTGCAATTTCGACAGGCCGAGGACAACACTGCGAATACCATGTAATAAAAAAACCTGTTGCCAAGAAGATGTTGAGCAAATATCTACCACTACTACTACTACTACTACTACTACTACTACTACTACTGCTACTACTACTACTGCTACTCCTACTACTACTATTACTACTACTACT